GGTACAAAGTCCTCCAGCTTTTCATACCTTACAGTCTAGATAGTAAATTTAGCGTGATAGTCAAAGCTTTTAGCGCTGTTTGATGAGCCCGCGTAGTATTAGGTAGTTGGTTAGGTAAAGGCTGACCAAGCCGATGATGCTTAGCTGGTCTTTTTGGATGATCAGCCACACTGGGACATCCAGACTCGACATTTGCGCTTCAGACATCTTGACGAGGGATTATTTGGGACTTGTGACAAAAGACTTGGTGTTGACGACATTCCCATCTCTCCCCCTCTTCTTCGTTTGTTCCCCTCCGCTTCGTCTGTGCATGATCAGGGCCTGGCGCCTTCTTCCTGTGTATAGCGCCAGGTCTCCTCATACCTTGTGATGAGAATGCTGTATGTTTAGTCTGCGTTGCAACATTGATTGGGCTAGTCATTGATATTCTAGCATTCTGCTACGCTATCTTGCACTACCTGATAGAGGTCAGTCTCGGTCAGGTCAGGACTTGTATCTAAGTCTTCCCTGTGCTATAAAGCACCATTTTTGTATGTATCAGAATGTACACTGCTTGTTGAGATTTCACTTGCACTGCATTGTCCATTCAGCCCTTTTTATCACATTGCAGCTCCTCGGTTATTATGTACATCGCCCAACAGGGCATGTAACAATTAGCATATGGAAACAAGTACTGACCACAGTCCACACTTCACGTAGGAGAAGGACTCTAAGTGCTGTTATCTCCACTTGGAAGGAAGACTGCCATCTCTACTATATTCTGATTGTTGGGTAGTCCTAGATAAACGGAGAATGTTAAAGATGATCTTTGCTATGTGGTGCAGATCCCCAAACATCATAATCCCATGTCGCATAGATAGAGGGCTTTTCACATGGGGTACTGCAAATGGCAGGACAATAACCTGCTGGAGCTGGACTGCAAGTGGAATTGACTCCCCAGCAGAATGACTTGTAGAAATCGCAGTTGCCGAACCATAGGGGTCAGGGGTTGAAGTTGTCAAAGGGGCAAGCTTGCTCTGCGATCTCTGACAATATTCCGTCTTGGTGCGATGCCTGAAGTCTTTGGAAGAGGTCATCGATGGAGTCGTCAAACGATTCACACTCTTTCCTAGGACGTCCTGAATCCTAATCACATAATCAGCTATCCTGCCATCTAAGTCTGAGTACTACCTCCCTCAAGAAGATGCATGCTGCCCCCAACCATGCCTGAAGTCACCAACAACAAGCTCCGAAGCTGTGATGCTGTGTATTCCAAAGTTCAAACCAGGGAGAAGGCTTGCAATTACATCACCAAATCTCAAGAAGCTAACCACTGGCACTTTGTATTCTGTTTTCCAGTTATGCTCTTTGTATCTTGTTCGCAGTTTTTCTCAGTAAGGGAAGGAGAGAACAAAGGGCTTTCTCAAGGGACCTTTGGAGCTAAGGGGGAAGGTATGCGAGGATTTCGTACCTTGGCAGTGTTGGAAAGGGGCCGTGCCCTCTCTAAGTGAAGGTGGGCCTGCAAACAAGTGCCAATGCTTGTTTATAGGCCTATGAGACCAGGCTGACGGGCACAAGCAGAGCCTGTTGGAACCCCCATGTGGGCATGGATCTTCGACGAGGCCTTGTTACGAGTTAGCTTCTCGACATGCCCCTGTGGGGCCCTTTCAGTAAGCACGAACCCGCACCCGAGATGGTGCTAGGGGTGCTGGTGAAAGCAGCACCACTAGCTGGAAATCGGGTCCAGCGTCCCTGAACATTATGGTTGATTATCTGAACATGTAGATTGTAGATGACGAGCGGCTTTGATTACCATCAAACTAGGGGATTACATACCCATCAGACTGCGCGGTGGACTAACCCTGCACGGTGGATAAGTCCAACTAACCCTTTCATGGTAACAGCGCATCGATTCATCTCACCTCCTATGTAGCCCTAGTGAGAGAGAGTGTCCAGACCCCTCCAACCCATAGAAACTCCCGTCTCACTCGCATATCCCATCCATATGTCAGAGCACTATGGTTATATACGCATTATGGAAACGGTGACACCTACCTGAGTCATACCAAAAATCTACCTAAAGAACACACCGCACGTTGAAATTTGAATGTAATCCTTAGTACCCAATTGAAATTCTTCAAGACAAACCCTAAGGATGCGGGTGGGCCAACCGTATTGTAAATTCCAGCAACAGGAGAGAATTGACTGCACAAATTGTGATTGACTACTCTGGGAGGAAGATATCATCATCCCATCCCACAACTCTCCCCTGCAGACTATCATGAATCGTTGTTATTGTCGTGTAGTTAGCATCCTTGCGAGCTAGCTCCCTGGGAACCCAAGGATAGGCAACGCTTGCTGAGATCATGGCCTTTCCCGGGGATTATACCCTCCCCCCCCCCCTTTTGTTCCAACCTAACCTACACCCACTCTCTCTCTCCCCCAAGGCACCCAGATTGCAGCATAGTGAAATAGGAAGAAGACGGCAGCGCCGACATGAAGCAGAGGCACTGAGGGCATCGTCAACACAGGAAAAGGCACATGGAATAAGCTCTCCCCGCGAGACACGCCCATAGTCAGCCCTACGGTTCATCGAAGAATCACCTTCCCTGATCAGCCTGTCAGAGCTCGTCCGCATGAAAGAAGTTCGACGCAACGTGATAGGTGGAATTTGTCCTGTGTTCTTTGTCGCAACCTTCCAGGAGAGTGCAGTATCAAGTTGATGCTTGCCATCCCACTCTAGCCTCTGGTTGCATCGGGGACCTTTGTCTGCCTCACCATGAGGGTTTGAAAACCCAGCAGTCATCCGGCCAGGTGCCTGACCCATCGCCACCCCAACCGTGACAACCGTGTGCAGGTTCTGCAAGTTGGGGCGGTCCTGTGTCTGACCGCCACATGGGGTGTTGTCCATAATACCCTCATCCTCCCGGTTGATTTGATCCAGTATCGTTTCGTTGACCAGGCAGCCGCAGTGCGGCCCCTGGATTGTGATGGATCAGCTCTTATCACCCAATGATTCTCCAATGGCGACTGCCGCCCATTGTTGTGCAATGATTTGCCTCAGCTTGTTCAATTGCATATGACACTCTTCTATATCATCTATAACCTGCTCATCAAGATCGCCAAGTAAAGAGGAAACAATCCCTCGCAACTCGTTCCCCCATTCTTCAAAGGTGTCTTCTACCTCTTGTAGCATCACCAGTGGCAAGCTGTCCTGTGCTTGTAGCAGCACCAACACTGTTTCATGTATCTGTTGCACGTACATACCTACAGTCTCTGGTGCTGATGCCGTTTCCCACCGTGATGGAGACGAGGAGAACTCCTGCAAAGTAGGGTGCAGCAGGTCAGGAGGGGTGCCCCGCCCACCCTCACCATCGGTGCCCATTGTCACCATCCGACGGCTCTAAAAGCGACACACTGATAACACTTACCCATAGATGCTGTCTGCGCTGCTGTCACCGTCGGGAGATCACTCCTCGTTATTGTAGACGCCAGTTATCGCTGCTGATGTCGCCAATGTTGCCCGTCTGTACGCTGGCGTCACTGTGCCGATCTTTCCTACGCGTGGACTCTCCACTCTGGCTGTGTTAAGGGGCCAGGGGATGTCGACAATCGAACTCGAAGGAGATCGCCGATCACGGCGATGGCGTCTCCCTAGACTCCACGCGGATCCTGGCGGACGGGCCTTGCCGCCCGCCGGCCGCAAGCGCCAGCGCTCTCCCTTTCCCCAGGGCCCCTGAATTTCAATATGGCTGGAGTTCGTCAATTTTGGCAAAGTTTGGTGGGCACCAGACAGTTGCCATGCACCAGTTGGTTACATCATCCGTACTCGTGAGTTGTGAGCCTTCTTGGCTCTTCCAGCAGCACAGGCAAGGCAGGGAGAACCTCACGTTTACTCCTGGGTGGTTGGGCAGGCCTAACCAATTCGGTCCCAGGCCACTGTCTGAATGGGCCTGGGCGCAGACACTTTGGCCCAATCGGAAGCAACTGGAAACACATGAGGCCCAGCCAGACAGCAACCTGGGCAAACGCTTTCCAAAAAGGAAAGAGCTCGCCACTGGGGGGCGCATTCGGGCACTAAGCAGTGCATGCGGCAGCGCTGCTCGAGTGTGCGCTCGCAGGCTGTGCGCTGTGCGCTAGTGCTAGATGGCGCGTGTGCTGGAAGAATGCAGGGTGCTGCTGAGGGCAGCACCATAGCCATGCCTACATAGCCAGGGCTTGGCTTGGATAGCCAGTGGAGGTGATGGTGATCTTTGTGTACAAGGAGGACGACGTGGGTAGAGAAGATGAGGGGGAGAGAGCGAGAGAGATGAGGATGATGATGTGAGGGCACATAACTGGTCTTGGCGATGGTCTATAGGGTTGACATCTTCATGTACTTCGGTTGTTGCTGCTGACGTCAACAGGTTGCATTGTCAATTCGTAGGCTGGTGGTAGCTGTGTGATTGTAGTCCGGGCGCTGAACGCCAAGTAGGAGGAAGGGCTCTGGATACATATGTTGGTGGTGGCGAGTATGCTCTCATTGACATTCGGGTTTGGTGCTTTGGTTCTCCGTTGGTGGAATATCAGTGCATTTCTGCTTTCTGGACAGATGTCTGGCCTGGCATGGGTGTCCCAGGTAACCTAGAACTTTTGTATCCGTGTTCTATTGAACCACCAGTTTACCACGAATGAATTTCACCCACCAGTATGTCCAAGCCTCTGAACACATTTGACCACGAACGAATTTCAACCACTGGCAGGTGCTGCCAGTCAAAGACATCTGGTACGCCGAGCCCCGGAAGTTGCAGCACATGTATTGCTGCGTCAGAAGAAATAGCTGGGAAACTTGCTGGTGTTTAAACTGAGTGCAGGCAGGCCCGTACATCCATGAAAGGCGGGCAGGTACCAGCGCACCATGCCCCGGGACTGCCAGCGCACCATGCTCACGAACTGGTGCTTTAACGGGAAAACAAGAAACACAGCCAGCTCAAACACGTTCAGATATTTGTCCACCTACTTCATTATTCATATGACCTTACCGACAATTGGAATGGGATCAGGATAGCTCTGGTCCATATCAGTTGAACCCCAACCACCAACATATGGGCTTCCTGGGTGCGCATGTCTGTATCAATCGCCAACAAAAGCAAAACAACAACAACCCAGGCACTTTGCAAATTAGGACTCACAGATGGGATTTAAGTTTTGAATAACATTTTGAAATTTAAAATCATGTTTGCGATTCAGACTTCCGGATATCCATCCAGGCTGACTCGATCCAGATGTCCAGGTTCGGTTGTCCAGACAGGTGGTTTGGATAAGGCCCCACAGATTCTTTTCAAAAGAGGAATGGCCTAGAATGAGTAGTCATGGAAGGCTTCCAAACGGCCTAATACATTAACATGCCCCAACAAACCTCTACTTGAAAACAAGAAAGAAACAAGGAATTTCGGTCTGACTCCCACTCTCAATATGGAGACTTTTGGGCAAAAATGAGACCCCACACTCTTATGGGAAGCTCAAGAGCTGTGGGACTGCGGGCAGATAGAAGAGGTACCAAATAATGTGGACAAAGGAATGAGCAGAACGCAACTCTTTTTTCTAGGGGCTCCCTTCCCCTACTTTTTTCCAAAGAGTAGATTTTCAAAGTCAGGGGCTAGGGGGACACCCACCCCTTCACGCTACAACAGCCAGAGTAGAAGGTGCTGTCAAGTTAAAAACTTCTATTCAATTCCGACCACTGTGGCCCTGGCTCTTTCGGGAAAGAGGCAGGTATTCTCAGCATGAGGAGAGTGGCGTCGATGCCTTGATAAAAAAGGATAGCAATGCCATTTTGATGGGTACCTCAATACGAAAGGATAGTAATGGTCGTTTCCCACAACATTCTCCCGTCCCTCTGAGATCATGCGAGAACTTAAGGAAAGGTGGAAACAAATAAGATATAGAAATCACACCATGCCGCCGGTCAGCGCAGCAACGAGTCATGATGTCTGCTAATGATCACACGGTCCTTATAAGAGCATCGGATTCTTCAGTGAAAGCGCTTGTCAGGGCAATGGAAGCTTTCAGGCTGGCGTCTGAAATGAAAATCGACTGGAAAAAAACAGTAGGTTGGTGGTTTGCAGAGGAAGAAACAACCAGATTGGAAGGTCCCGAAGCAGACATGACATGGGAAAAACTGGAAGAGCCCACGAGATACCTGGGAATTCTAATAACCAAGGACGGCCCCGCCCCACAGATGGCACAAAACCTGCTAACTTATCAAAACAGAATGGGACGATGGGGGAATACCTTCACCTCATTGTTAGGAAGGGCCCTGACCATCAACACATCTATCTTCTCTGTGATGTGGTATATTGCCTCCATCTGGACCATACCTGATCACAAGACCAAGAAATTGAACCGCAGAGCCAAGGCATACCTCTGGTCAGCCGACCCTAACAAAACTAAATACATACCCAAGATAGCCTGGCATTATATAACAAGAATGCCATCTAAGGGAGGTCTAGGTGTGGCGGGGCTGAGGCAGAGCAGCGAGGCCGGGGAAGAGAGAGGATGAGAGTGAGAGCACACACACACACTCACTCAACTCGACACGGACTCGACGCAACTCGATGGACGCAGACACAAAGTGGCAAAGTCGCAAAGCCGCAGTCTTGGATTCCGAACACAATGTTGCAGCAAGTCACACTGAAGCGCAAGCACTGAGCCCGGAAACTGAATGCCCGTACTGGGCTTGAGTCCGGTCTTAAGTACCGGAATCAAGTTCAGTCCCGAGGGCAGAAGTGCAATTTGCCTCAGGGCTGAACTGAGAATCGAAGGTCTGAGTCTGGGCACCAGAATGCCGGATGGCGCCAAGTATCGAAATCCGAAAGTGCCAAAGGAGGAATTTGAGAGCGGGCACCAACTGCAGAGGGCGCCAACAGTCAGAACTGGAGATCAGAAACTCAAAAAAAAAAAGAAAAAAAATAGCAGCCTGGCGGGTGGTAACCCGCGGACCAGGGACCGAGCCCTGGCTGAGTCCGTAACACTATCCCCTCCCTCTAGAAGGCAACGTCCCGGATGCCAAAGACCCAATGAACAATTGTAAAGGACGGGATGGTGCAATCAGACTCGTTTTCAAACACACTTTTCACACATGTAAACAGTAAAGCAGCACACTGGCGACATGCGCCCACTCAAAACTCAGAGATATGGTTTTCAGATACGAGTTCACTCCCAATTGGCTATGGCGACCTCAGCGCACAAACATCTCACTGTTCACATACACTGGATCACCCTGGATATCCCACACGCATCACTCTAACACTCGAGCACACACACACACTCACTACTAACTATAGCTATGGCAGCTATGGCTGCCTCTAACCTATCGCTATGCTAACTCCTCCTCTCTTGCCCACTGCGCGGGCTCATCTGCAGACCTCCTTGCACAAGTCGCTGTGGCAGCGCTAACGCATGGCTCGCACAGGAATGAATGAATGGCTGGGCGCTGCCTCTTGATTTATACTTCAGAAATTCGTTGGTCTGCCCTTTGCCATCGGCCCTTGGTGCTCACAGTCCCCCTGTGGTACTTGCTGGACTGGACTGGGACTCTCTAGACCCTTCT